CTTCATCCTCTACCTCATCTACGAGCCCACTTCGAGTGATGACTGGAGCAGGTGGAGCCTCTGGAATATTTTCAAGTTTGACATAGTCTTCTGGTTGCACACCAATTTGTTTCGCACGTTCAGTTTTGAAGGCAAGTGCTTGCTCCAAAGCAATAGGAAGTTTTACTTCCTTCACTTCTACTGGTGGGTCAACCTTCAGAGACAACAGTGATGGAAGTTTCCCATCAGAATGAGTGTCTTCATCAGAATCTACACCAGGAGGGCCCATACCAAGTGGTTCCATTCCTGGTGGAGGGGGCATGGCTACTGAAGGAGGTGGACCTCTGAGTTGAGGTGGAGGTGGAGCCAAATTTGGACCACTTAATCCACCAATAGGGGATCCTGATACATCAATTCCTGGTGGCATAATCCCAGGTCCTGGTGCAGGAATTGTTGAAGGAATAGCCATTGGTGGTGGCAGAACTGTAGGAGCAGTACCAGGGGGAGGAGCTGCCATTCTATGCCGCATCATATCTTCTTCCCTTTGTTTCTCAATTAGAGCTTCTTGCTGCAAGCGAAATAACTCTTCTTCTTGACGACGCTGCAACATCTGTCGTTCTTGTTCTTCACGTTGTTTTTCCACCAGTGCTGTCTGCTGAAGGCGTAACAGCTCTTCTTGTCTTTGTTGTTCAATCATGAGCTGCTGCTGATGGATTCTCTGCTGCATTTCCTGATTCTCCTGTTCTTCTTCCATAATTTCTGTTCACAGGTTTATCTTTTATTTATTTACTGCAATGCCTCGACTTCACACGATGCCTCGCAATCCACGGCTTCCACCATAAAATATGAAGTCAAGAAATCCCACACTCCGAACGCAAATCTACCTCCGACTTGTGCGGTACCGCTTGTGGTGAACTGTAAATCGAGAAAACAATGGATAAACGACGACTACAAAGATGACTAACCCCTAAAATCTGCGAATTCTACTATTATTAAACTATGATATTATTAGCGGCATAAAATAACTGTAATACAAACTAAACTTAATAAATTGTTTAAAATTTGTATTGCTCTACGTTCCGCACAGAGAAATTGTCACACACATATACAGTCAACTATTTATTCAGAGGTACCAACAACTCCATAGATAACCTAATGACTGTACCTATGCCTATACCAGGTATTTTTTACTGAGACTAGCGGGAAACGTTGGGAGCAACTCGGTACAAAGGGATATTTCTATTTCGCGATCATAAGTGAGTAGAACACAAAAGTGCGAGTGAGAAATATGGCTGCTGAGATTAAGCCTGTGACTGCATCTAATAGTGATAAATTTAATTCTACAACGAAACCGGATCTTTTATCCAAACTAGAAGGTTGTACTGATGATGTAAATGCTGCTATTATAATACCTGGCGAAGACGGCGTAATCAGTGTTAGTGATGATCGGTAAGATATTCATTTTATATCGCTCTGAACCAAACCTTTCCATTGCCAGAGGTTGGTTTCGTTGTGAATTATTAGAAGTTTCTTTCGTCGCATATGAACTGCACTAATATAAAAATTTGCCATTCGAACGATACATCAGTGCTGACACCACTGATTAGCAAAAAACTGTCAGGCAACATAACCGGCGAATCGAACAGCTTGAGAAATGTTGACTAATCATTTTGATGGCTTCACGTTGCATGTGATATGGTTATGATAGTTTATAATTTTATGGATCACATAACACACCTGTCTAGTGTAAACACCTAGTTAGGTTGAAATAACTTTGTCTCTGCGAATTTGGAATGCAGAACAGAAAGAGGGTTTGGTTGCAATTGAACAAAAAAGTTAGAACATTGTGTTTCCATCCACGTCAAGAGTTTATATACTCATGTATTATATGATCGAAAATTGCTGTTGTTAAAGTTGTCTAACAGTATTTGATTCATTTTCTGCAGTGAGCATATGCCACATTATGATGTGAGTGTTTAGTTACTAATTTTGGGAGTGTGGAGAAAAAAATGCTTCCAGTCACGTCTATATTTTAGGGTCAGTGTCATTCGGCAAAAATGTAATGAAAAAGTGTTACGACAAAGGGAAACGAAAAAGTGTAACTTCATTGTTATGTTACCTAGGAAACGTCAAACTTCATTGTTATGTTACCTGGGAAACGAAAAAGTGTAACTTAATTGTTAAGTTACCTAGGAAAGGTCATCTGTTTATCAACAAATAAACAACAATGGTTACCTACATACTTACCTTACCTTACATTACATTACTTTACATTACCTTACCTTACATTACCTTACATTACATTCATCTACCACAGACCCATCTTAAGTGTAACTAATTCAAGTTAAATAAGCAATGTCTTAATCAAACTTTACTCAATTGTAAAGCAGGTATGACGTATTTACGTCAAATTATCCGGAACCATGGTTCCACTGACAACTTTTGGTTCCTCTTTCTTCCCTTAATTTAATATATAGAAACTTCTGTCTTCTTATCATATAAAGAGGGATACCATTTTATGGTTTTAAGGAATAAGTAAACTTGCAGTCTTCTTCCAGAACCCTGGCAATTTGTAGTGTAAATACTGAAGTTCTGTAATTTTTGTTCTGGCATGTTGTTAAGCAAGAGCATCCTAAATTAATCACAAAATTGTATTTGTGGTTTGTACAGGACAGAAGGCCTAAATATGCCAGTGTGCTATTATTACAGTAAGGGTATTTTCTTAAGGAAGTATCTGCCTTCACCACTGATTTTGAAGATAAAACATACATTTTCAATTTCTTTAAACCAGTAATGCCTAGTGTCATGTACTTAGGATAGTGATTCCTCTAATTTTTATGAGATGGCTTTCTGAGCCTTAGTAAGAATAAACATATTTTCAGTTATTCAGTTCTTGAATTTTTTAATATTTATTTCTTGTTAAAATTCTTGTTGGCTGACATGTGTGATTGTTCATTTATAGTTGCTTGAAAAAGGAACACCCATGTACCTTCTTTTTTTGGACAGGATTTTGTTTACTTTTATGTATTCTTGGCATCTTGTATATTGTATTCACACCTGTTTACTACATGAAGGTGCATATTGTCATGGTGTTATCACAGAATTTTGACTTTTTGTGTATTTTGATTCAAGATAATATGACCATTCATGAAATAGTAATTGTAGTTTCCATTTAATAAATTAAGTTTGTGATTGAAATTTGGATGCCAGTTCTTTGCTGAGTCACATTGTACATACTTTCTTTAGTTGTAGAAGCTAAGTTGTAAGATACCCTTTTGTACTTTTTAGGACTGTTCGAGTATGGTTGAAGAGGGATTCAGGCCAGTATTGGCCCAGCATCTGTCATTATATGGCATCTGGAGCTACTGCTTTGTTCTACTGTGTTGAAACTCGTCAGTTGTTCATTGGTATTGAAAATGGCACAGTGTCGGTAGGTGCTTACTTGCTCATTCAACTTATGAGTGAATGCACTGTAGAATGATATAAATGAGAAGTGTCTCAGCCCTCTTTTACACAGAACTGCTCAAAATAGGATTGTTTTGGATGGAAAGTACATCAAACAAAATGTACTGTCTTGTCAAGAATGTTTGCACTGTGTCCACTTTAAGGCATATGCATACTGTGTTGCAGAAAACTAATTTTTATGAAATGAAACATATTTCTTGCTCAGTCACACTGTTCCTTAAAGAAATTGATTTGCAGGAATTTATTCTGGCAACAGACTTCAACCGTATGACACATGTACGAGACTACATTGCTCATCAGGCCCGAGTGACCAGCATTCATTTTGCTCTGAACTGTGAATGGATGCTAAGTATTGGGCGAGATAAAATGTTTCAGTATCACTGCTCTGAGACCGGTCGTCACCTAGGAAGTTTTCAGAGTGATGCGTGGTGTACTGCATTGCAGTATCCTTTTTAAGAACAGGGAGCCATATTGAAACTTGGTATTCCTACTGACTTACTGTATGGGAGCTTGATTTTGAGTAAAAAATTGACCTTGGAACCACGGTTCCGGAGAATCTGACGTAAATACGCAAACGCAGCAGTAGCGTGAAGTGCGATGCGCCTTTATCCCTTACTTCAAACTTTGTTCAATTGTAAGAGAGCACGATGTCCACCGGCAATAATCAATTGTGATATTCTAAAACGTTTTTAACAGCACAGTATTATCTACTCTACGACGCACTTCTTCTACGAGCGATTCACAGCTCAGCTCTTTCCGCAATAACGAGAGCGGATTGCTGACGGCAGTAATGAAACACAACAGTGCCGAATAAACAGATGACATAAAAATTAGTTTCGTAGGTAAAGGAGTGGATTGCAATACGGTTTATTATACAGCATGCCTATTAAATGAGAAAAGAGCCTTACGGCATGCTCAGCCAATATTGTTGCAGGCGTGTGTTAGAAATTCAAATCCTTTTTCTTGCATTGTTATGCATGCAGGAGTTCATATAAAAGCTGACCATTGTCGGTCTGGACCAAAGTACACATGAGAGAGGAAATCCTGCTTCAGATTATGAATGCTGTTTACATACAGAAATACCATATAATGAGTCATTTGCAATAAACTATTTTTTGGAATGAACAAACCTGTGCATTGAAATCTATGGCTGACATTTTGAGCTGTTATAAGAAATATCTCATAAAATGTACCAGTAGGTTTAATGGATTAATACTATCTCTTATATTTCTGTGCATGCATTTTCAAACTGTGATAGCTCTGCAACAGTTGGAAATAGGATCAGTATTTTATTGATGTCTCTTACTCAAAATTATCTTCTGAATTACCACCCAGTGTATGGCATACTAGTTATCAAACACCTTAACAATTTATGTATTCTGTCATCTCTGTGGCTTATATTTCCTTAATTTGTGTCCAGATTTGATTCACAGTCAAAGCATGCATTTATTGGTGATTATTCTGGTCAGATCACAATGCTGAAGTTAGAGAATACAGGAACTACACTGATTACTACACTGAAAGGTCATACAGGAAGTATACGTACTATGGCTTGGGACTCAGAAAAGCAACTTCTTTTTTCAGGCAGTTTTGATCAGAGTGTTATTGTGTGGGACATAGGAGGTCAGCAAGGAACAGCATATGAACTTCAAGGACATCAGTAAGTTATTTCATAGTTATCTTTTTTTTTTATTCTTGCGTTTGGCCCAGCACAAGATTTGTACAACTGGAAATCTGTGCAGTACAATAAGAAAGTCTCCTTATGTGTTCTGCTCAGAACTCATTTTCTTGAATGTATCAGATTTTTTATGCAAAACTCATTTCCATTTATTGGAAACCCACAGTTTATGGGATTTCTAAACATGACACTCAGATTTAATTTAACTGACATTTAGGGAATAAAGAAGCAAAACCTATGCTGTAAGAATTGTGATCCCTAACTAATGGCCTCAACAGATGAAAGAGCCTTTCCCCGACCTCCCTTCTAAATGTTTTTCCAAAGTTAATTAATTTCCCTTTAGGGGTTACTAAAACATTGTTGTTTTTTTGGAACTAAAGTATGCTATGAAACAGAAGAGGGTCTGAATATAAACATCATTAAGTATATCAAAATTCTGGGCACCATAAACCAAATTTTCTGAATTTTAGTATTAATACATATATATAAATTCAAATTTATGAAGCACTTGCCATGGTGGCAAATAATAGGAAGTATGTGCTGTGTCACATAATTTAATTTAACAGATTAGTATTCTGTTATTGTTTACATTGAAGATAAAATGGAGTCTTGGATAATTAGCTGAGAAAACTTCATTGCATTTAGTCACTGAAAGCTTCAAAAGTTATATTTATTAAAGCAGCATATGGAACATAGCTAATTTTCATAATATATACAGTGACAGGCATGGAGTAATTGTTTTTAAAAGATCTGTCTTATAGGAAATAAGCAATTTATAAAAGGTTTATTTTAAGAACAATCAGGAAAAGGAACATGAACTGTAGCTAGTTTTTAATAACAATACAGACTCTCCAGTAATGAAAAAGTGCAGCAGTGTTGACTGAACACAGAATGCTACTTAAGTCTATATATAAATAATGGTTTCCCATTAATTTAAGTTCTGAGAAAGGGAACCGTCTTATGTTTATCTAAAGAGGTGGATGTCTTCTGGGTTGTTGCACCGTGTAGTCTGGTGTAAGTTTACTGACGTTTCAGAGGTCCTTGCTGCCTCCACCATCAGGGCGGTGAATGATTTATTGCCCTGATGATTGAGGCAACAAGGACCTCTGGAACATCGGCAAACTTCTACCAGACTACACGGCGCAACAATCCAGAAGACAGCAATCTTCAGACTCATTACTGTGAAAACCTCAAATCCTACTTATTTATATTTGAATAGATATGGTATTCAGATTAGTAACTGTGGAGATGTTTTGTTGTGTGGTGAGTGTGTGTTGTCTGCATGTTCTTGTTTTCAGTAACAAAGTGACTGCTCTGTGCTATGCAGCTCTGAAGCAGCAGCTCATCTCAGGAGGAGAGGATTCAGTCCTTGTATTTTGGGACATGAGATTGGAAAGGAAGGAGGTTAGAATATGGCTTATATGTGCCTTTTTTGTAGAAATACAGTAGTATGGGTTGTAACATTTAAAATGGGACCCAATAATAGTCATTCACTACATTGAAATCAGCAGGTTCACACTGCTGTCCCAGCACTTGAGTTGCTAGGCCATGGCTATACCAATTTCATGCAGTGCATTAGCTGCAACAATGGTGTACAGCTGCAACAATTAGTTTTTCCAGTAGTTTTGTTTTGTGCATGAAGGGGCTCATATGTAATGGTTAACACAGAATGAACTGTGTCATTGGACAAAGCTTGAGGAAAGAATCTTCATCTTGACTGACTCTGTGAGCTAGGAATGTCAGCAATATCTCCTTGTAGTTGTATAGCCCATGTTATGTTTTGTGTTAGACCCCAGAGTGGCATGAGTCTGACTGCTGTCAACGATGTAGACGCCCATTCTTCTGGAACCTTCGTGCCATGATGGACCAACGCCAACTGGGCCTCAGGCAACATCATTGCCGCTACTGTGGACGCGCAGTGTGTGACCGTTGTAGTGCAGGTCGGGCTTCCATTCCTGTGATGGGTTTTGAGTTTGATGTGCGTGTCTGTGATCCGTGCTTCTCCGAACTCAAAGACATGGAGTAAGTATGTCAGTTTATGGTTTATGTAGTAACATTGTCAACATAATTTATTTAGCATCAGGTGATAATGCACAGTGAATTGTAATTAATGAACAGAATGATGTTTGTAGCTTGTTTCAAAGTACTGTCATGGTACTTTTTTGGGAAGACTAAGCAAAGTGACGGTATGTAAGTATGTGTGACTGTATGTATGGGCGCCAAGGCAACCCTAGCATTTTGTCCATTGCTGATTTTAATACAGGATAATTGGTGCTTGTGAGTGTGAGTTTAGTTGGTTATTTGTGTACCAACCTGTTTCTTCAATGCAAGTCACAGACTAATCACCATACATAAATTTATGAAAACTCGGTTCTTCCTCTTTGAACTTTACTCATCTCAGGAAGTGTGTGGTGATGTTTGAAAGTAACAAATTATAGATTTTTCTTCAGATAGTTTTATATTCATACAAGTGCTGGTTGTTAATTATATTTGGTTCTCACAGGCATGAGCAAGAGAATACCATATGTGAAATTGTTCTTGTGGAATTTGTCCATCATCTAAATGATAAAATTATAAATCTACAGGTGAATTCTGCTTTTATGTTAAGGTAGAAAGGGGGGGGGGGACCAGGTCTGATGCTAGCTCAGCTTTATAGAGGTTTGTAAGCTAAAGTTTTTACTATATTTTTGTAGAACAGTTTCCTGGTCACATCTAATATTTATGTTATGCTATGTAAAACTAATTTAATTTTTTTATCTGTGTGTATATTTCTCGATTGTTCTGTTTCAGTCACACTTCAATGGCTACATTTCATAATGCAAAACACAGCGTTGTATTTATGGACCTTGATGAACCCCGCAAACGACTGTTGACTGTTGGCCAGGATCGACTGATCAAAATATGGGATGTTTCTGCACTTTTGCAATAATGTCCTTTGTATTCCATGGAATAATGTGATGAGTGAAAGTATGTTGGTTAAGAGGCTGCCAAAACTAAATTGTGTAATATAAAATAAATGTATATAAATGTGCTTGTACTGTACATATACTGTGTGTGTGCTGGAATGACTGAACCCTTACTTAAGTCAGAATTGACTACAGCAAAACCTTTATTTTATGTTTTTGCAATGGATTTCCAAAAGTAGGTATGAAGTTGAAGCAAGTCTAAAATAAAGGCACTTCTCATTATGACATATACTAGGGATCCTATACTAGTTTTGCAGTGTTCTAAAACTTTGTATACATTTTGTTGAAATCTTACTTCTGTTCACATAGGGTATAGACTCTGGAACATAATTTTGCATAATTTGTAAGATATAGGAAGTGTAAAATTTATTAAAATTGTAAATTGTTTTTGTGAACTACTAGCCAGGACCAAAACAGAGTGTATAACTGAGAAACAAAAAATTGAAGTTTCACTGTACTAATCACTAATCAAAAGTAGGAGCAGTGTCCCATGATCCCAGCATCATATAACATATCTAAGCCCCTTGACTAAATGGCAGACATTCCAGCGCGGATGTTATGAATGTTTGAAATATGGCTGTGATGTCACAGCATTTGATGGCATATCCTGTACCTTTTTATGCTATATGTACAAGGTGCTATTACTTGTGCACATTTAGATGTAATCTTTCCTGGATTCCAACCTAATATTGTAATGTGATTCATACCTCCAGAGCAACGTAACAAATTACTTGCTTATAAGTTTTGTGTGGAATTCATTTTCAAGGATGATTCCTGTCAGTTATGTCTGTCACTAAGTGTCAAGATGATTGTTGTGTGTTTACTTGCGGAATTGTACATAGTGAGATGGAAGATAATAACAAATTTATATTTTATATTTCTATAAACTTTGAAATTATATTTGGAAGTAATTTTTATATTTACTGTAAGTGTTCTGTACTTAATGTGTTGGAGAGATACTGCTCATTTCAGTCTTACATCTCCACACACAATTACATCTACCTCAAAACAAAATGACCAGCTTCATTATAAATTTGAAGACCTTTGGAATCTAACAGTAGTGTATGATCTATAGTCACACCTTGTCTAATCCGCTTTCTGTATAAAATTTACAAGAACAATACAGTTTACAGAATTACTGTTTTTCAAACTTAGTATGTACAAGTAGGGTTTGAGATTTTCATGGCGGTGAATCCGAAGATTGCTGTCTACTGGACTGTAGTACCATGTAGTCTAGTAAAAGTTGCTGCCTCCATCACCAGGCTGATCAATGATCTACCAGATTACATGGCGCTGCACCCCAGAATCTAGCTATCATCTTAGTACATGCAAATTTTCATGATGATTTTACTTTGTAAAAGATATTGCTGCAGACTTTTTTTGGTATCATGAGTCATTCTGATGGATTAAGATTTTGTCATATAGTGAGATTGAAGAATTGAAAATTATTGGATTGCATTATTGCTGCATTGGGACAAGTGATGACATTTTCTCTGCAGCTCTTGGTTTCTTAATTAAAGAAAGAACATATTACTTTAAATTAATGTGGAACATGACAATTCATCTGTAAAGTTATAATTGGCATGGGAGTCATAATATTCCTTTCACATCCTTTGAATTACTGTTTTTCCGGCAGTACTGGTACACATGAAACTGTCTTGAACCAATATAACTGGTGCAGAAGGGAGAAGAGCACACAAAGTGCAGACTTTTACTGCAATTCATTGTCACTTACTGGACAAGAGTCACATTACATGCAGTTGGGTTGAGTTAGGTTAAAGATTGCCAGAACTGGTGCTGTTGTACAAGATAACAAGGGAAGAAAATTCTTTATTTGTAGCAGTGACTTGCTGCCAGTGAAAAAGAAATACAATATTTATCTGTATCAATTTTTATTTTGTGTGCTTTCT